GCCACTTTATTAGGTACACCTGTTCAATTGCTAATCAGCCAATCACATGGCAACAACTCAATGCATTTAGGCATCTAGACGAGCTGAATATTACTTGCTGAAGTTCAAACCGAGCATCAGAATGGAGAAGAAAGGGGATTTAAGTTACTTTGAAAGTGTCATGCTTGTTGGTGCCAGATGGGCTGGTCTGAGTATTTCATAAACTGCTGACCTACTGGGATTGTTACGCTCAACCACCTCTATGATTTACAGAGAATGGTCCGAAAAAGAGAATTTATCCATTGACCGGCAGTTGTGTGGATGAAAATGCCTTGTTGATGTCAGAGGTCAGAGGAGAATGGACAGACTGGCTCGAGGTGATAGAAAGGCAACAGTAACTTATGTCAATATGGACTAAAATCTCTGAGGAATGTTTCCAATACCTTGCTGAATCTATGCCATGAAGAATTAAGGCAGTTTGAAGGCATACCTAATAAAGTGGCCTAGATCTAGATTAGCAGCTACCTAGGGCTGTCTTACACTTAGAGTGACAGGCACTGGATCCCCTGTCCAGGGATTCCTCCAGGCAGCCGGATAAAGGAGTATCTGGGGTCTAGGGTAGTACATCCGGAGAGGTTGGCTAGCTGTTCAAGAAGGGATATTTGTCTAGAGACTTGTACATAGTTCCAGGAAGTTGTCCTCAGTTACTATACCCTTGGGCATCCCATGCACCCCTTACCCCATCCAAGTTCAATATCCTAATAAAACAAAGCTCAAGGATTGGTTACTGTCTCCTAGATGTAAGTCTGTGTGAGGAAAATGCATGTTGCCTGGCTGTGCAGAACTATAGGGGGACCCAAACTTCAGTGACTCCTAAGGGGGCAGTGCTACACATGTAACATGTTATGAAATATGATCTTATCCTTTAACATAGGATTAAAATAAGGCCTGGTTCACACCACAAAAAACACACTCCAGATCCATTTTGGATGCATTTCTACATGTGCGTTATGGTGCTTCAGGATGCATTCCAGATGCTTTTTCACTTCTTTATTCCTGTTTTTTTTTTCACTGCACTGTACTGTACTGTACTGGTGCCTGGTGTATTTAAGATGCATTATTGATGCGTTCCAGTACAGCCCAGTGCAGTAAAAATGCAGCATGTTCTACTTTTTTTCTGGAACTGGAATGCCCTGGAACTGACCGCACTGATGTGAACTATGCCATTGGAAACCATATAACCAACTTTCCATACGTTTTTGATGCAGGAAAAAAAAAACGCACTGGACTGCATGTGGTGTGAACTGGCCCTAATAGTAGATTTATTCTACAAATGGGTAAGATCTAACGAGGGACAGATGTGGAAGAAAAAAGTGCAGAGGGATTGGGATCCAGGTCAGGGACTGTCCCTCTAAATAGGAACATTTGGGAACTACAAATAATCACTACACCACACCTTAGGTACAGAATATTTTGATGACTTCCTTTAGGATCATTTCAAACCTTTGCAGCACAATGATTATCCAAGTATCCATACAAATAGTAAGCCTCCTCAAGCCTAGAGATGGGAAAAACACATAACAATAAGCTGAATGGCAAACATAAATATTAGGACAAACATATCATGTATCCTGCTAGTGTGTGAATTTACATATTGAGAGCTTTTATAGGTTTTGATATGACAAAAGAACACAACAGTTTACATCTTTGAGATATCGACTGTACAAACAATATTCAAGCATACAAGCGTAAATTATATTAAAGGGAGGCTATTGACATATACCGTTTGAAAAAAATATATAGCAAGCAAATATAGAAAAACATTATTATTATTTAAGACTCCTGGCACAGCTACTGTAACATGAGAAATGGAGGTAAAATGATGAACATGGAGGTCATTAGTCTATTTGGCTTCCCTTCTATTTATGTGACTTCAGTTGGGCTTTAATGGTCAGGGTTTAAATGAGGTGTTAGGTTCAGAGTTAGGTGTAAGGGTTAGGATGAAGTTGAGTGTAAGGTTTAGTGGTTTAGCAACGGTTAAGTCTCAAAGAATATGTGAACCTTCACATTATTAAAATAGAAATGAAGGGCAAAACATTTATTCATTGATATAAAAAGTATTATAAATACCTTTTAATTCCATTTTTATAAGTGATCACATACCTTCTGTTCTCAACTGCATAACAATCTTAGAGAGCTGGGGGAGGACTAGCAGCAGTACATTGGTCTTTCTAATGAATGACTGTGTCACCACAAGTCTGATCATTGGAGGAGAGCAGGCTACGTTCCCAGCACAGCTAGAAAACTGACCATGCTGTGCTCTCATGCCTAGTGTGGTCAGTTTTTAATAGGAAAAAAGAGGAACTGGGATTTCACACAATGGAAGCAATACAAGGGAACAGGATACTTTTGTCATGCAAAATGTTTGTGAAATGAAATTTTGGGTTGACATATTCTTTAACCCCTTGGTGCCAGCAGCACCTGTCAGCCCTTTAAGAGGTTTGTGAGGCTGGGAGGTGGGGCAGAGTTTAGGGTCATGTGACCACTGTGATTGGTTTTCACGGCGGTCACATGATTGGAAAGCTCTCGACTGCATGTAGCAATCGGAACCTTTCCATGAGGCACCAGTAAATGTACTGAGAATGCGCGGGGCATGTGCTCTTGGTACATGTTTTGTTTACACTGGGTATGCAAATCTGTGTCCCCTCAGCGCCAAGGCCCAGCCACTGAGAAGCAGCATATTTTCGTACGCTCGGTGCCAAGGAGTTAGGCGCAGAGGTTTGGTTTTGGTCAAGGAAAAGGAATAGGGATTGTGTAAAGGTTAAAAATGAGGTGTAGGGGTGTCACAGTCAGGGGTCAGGCTCGGAGACCATTAGCTATAGCAGTAGAGGAACTCCCACTGACCAGCTAGATAAGTACACAAGCAGGCCACCCTGATGTGTGATGTGGGCTCACCTGAGGTGTGGGGGGTCTAAGCACTAACTGGTGTTCTCCTGAGCTGCTGATGGTGGAGATGAGTTTTGTTGTGTGTTAGTACCAGGTTGCCCCTCCAGGAGATGTGCAAGGTGGGGTCCAGGACCAGATATAGCAGGAAGGGATGAAACATTAGTGTAGTCAGTAAACAAGCCAAAGATCATTAACCTCTCTAGCAGTTTTCCCGAGCCTGGCTCGGGGTTAAATCTAGCTGTCAAAAGCTGTCACGGTCACCGCAAAATACATACCTGGTCCTGCGATCCGTGTCCCAGGTCCTGCAGCCACTTCGAGCCACCCCCTGTCTCCTTCCCAGCTATCTCACTCTGATCAGCATGAGACATTCGCGCTGTGCCATCGGGGGGCGGGGCTTGCGGGAGGCGGGAGTTTTAAAAATAGACCTGTGTCAAAATAAAGTGTTATTCTAGTGCATACATTGTAACATTACCTCAGATATATCCATACTGCAGTTTTTCAGTTTCTGTGACTAAAAACGGTGTTGCACTCATGGCTTCCAAAAAGTGTCTCGCTAGGGCAAAGCGGTTTATGATGAGCTAGCAAACAGCGACAGTGAGGCGCTACTTGAATTGAGCGATAGCGACTCATGTGGCGATTTGTCTTCAAACACCGACAGTGAAGACAGCGGCGAATCTGAGATTGACGTGAGTGATCTGCAAACGTGGTGCACTATTGATTGCAATACACCAGCGCCACAAGGGTTTCCATTTACCAGCGCACCTGGTATGAAAATCCACATTGAAGGTGACAACCCCTTGGCATACTTAGAATTGTTTCTGACCGAAGAGGTTATTGAAATAGTCGTGATGGAGACAAATAGGTACACAGCGCAACAACTTGCTGCTCTACACAGCAGGTTTTCATGAAGCAGAAAGTGGCAACCTGTGACCAAAGAGGACATTTGGCTGTTTCTCGGCCTAATTATTCTGCAAGGAGTGGTGGGGAAACCTCTGCAGAAGTGTTACTGGACCACCAACAAAATGCTTGCCATGCCATTCTTTGGCACAGTCATGTCGGAGTACAGCTTTTCACTTATTATGAAATTCTAATGACCTACAAGGGAAGGCTCAGCTGGATACAGTATATCGCATCGAGGAGAGCACAATTTGGCGTCAAATCCTACCTGCTGTGCGAATACTCTACCTGCTACATATGGAACACAGTTATATAAGTCAGGAGAAATAGTTGCTTGGCAGAAAGGCAAAATGATGGCACTGAGATGAAGAGACAAGGATGTGTGCCTAATGAGTACCATTCACAATGCCTCCACAGTGATGGTACAAACAAAAGGTGGGAAAAACATCCAGAAGCCTCAGGTTATTATTGACTACAATAGCACCATGGGAGCTGTCAACAGAGCTGACCAAGCTATGACTTTCTATCCAGTGATGAGAAAGCATCTTCTGGAACAGTGCTTGTGGAATGCTTATATTCTGTTCAGCAAAAAACAGTGACAAGCCTGTGCTTCATGAGGACTTTATCTGGAAAGTTGCGGAAATCCATTTTCCTCAAACATCAAACACCATCAGTGTCTGTGGGTAGATCCGGATGTCGTGCTGTGGGAGTTGTCAACCCAGAACTCCTGACTGGACGTCACTTTATGGACCACATCCCACCAACCCAAAAAAGGCAGCACCTACACGGATGTGCGTGGTATGTTGCTCTCGGCAAGATGAGCATGGAAAAAAAATCCAGAAGGAAATGAGGTTTCACTATCCTGATTGCGATGTCGGACTTTGTGCAGTCCCGTGTTTTAAAATATGCCACGCCTGTGATGTTTTCTAGAATATGCAAAGCACAGAGTTCCGTGTGTTTGATTTGATTACATTGTTTAATTTATTATTATATTATTATTTTTTATTTTATTATAATTTATGATTTAATGTATTAAACTTTATTGAACCCAGGATTTCTACTAGACTCTTGTTTAAACAGATTTCAGTGAGTTATTCCTAAGAAGTAAAGGCCTACAATAAAAAAACAACATATTTCCATTGAAAACAATGTACTGCTTTGAGCACAGAAATACTGACCACGGGCGGACTGACCATTTGGAAACTCGGGCACTGCCTGAGGGCCCGGGGTCAGTAGGGGGCCCCTTGAGATGCCCCTGGTACCTTTTTCATAGGCTTTTTTTGGTTTGGGCAAGGACACAGGGGCCCCATGATCCCCTATTGCCCGGGGGCCCCATGAGTTGTCAGTCCGCCCCTGATACTGACATAATCATACTGCTAGGGAGGTTAACAAGTGGTTGCAGGTTGGGATCAAGATGAAGCATAGTTGAGGAACAAGCCAAGAGTGATAACTAATGGTTGCAGGTTGGGATCAAGAAAAAATTTATTCGAGGAACAAGCCAAAAGGTCAAAGACGAGTGGTAGTGGATAAAAGGACAGCTGCAGGTATGCAAAGGATCAAGATATCAGCTGGAGAGAGCACAAAAATCTGGCAAACAGAAATTGCAGAGACATGGCTTAAATCAGGAAGTTCATGGGAGGAGCAAAAGTTCAAGCTTCACCAGAAAAAAGAGACAAGGCAAGATAGTCCAAACAGTTCAGATAGGGAGCTGTCCAGCATCTCAGGTTGCACAGTGAAAGCTGCTGCAGCCAGATACCACAAATTTCACAGGTTCAGATCTAGACCCTAACAAGGGGTGAGGTTGAGTTTTAAGGGTTATGTTGCAGTTTGGGGATTCAGTTTATAGGATAGTTTCTGTTTTTACATTGTGGTTAAGGTTGAAGCTGCCCATAGATTAATCATTTTATTGTTCAGTTAGTGGGCCGAGCGAAAAAAAAACAAATTCCCCCATCCACACAATCGAGATTGGTGGAGGAGTCCTCGCCACTGTCAGAATGCACTGATCAGCGCCTGCAGCCACTGATTGACAAAAGTTTTCCAACATTCCCATTAGTTGAGTTCTGTTGAGTGGGAATGGTGGGTGGAACTTTGGCCAGTCCCTGCTAAACCAGTTGGATTTCAGTGCATCTATGGCCAGCTTTAGCTAAAATGGTGCTTGTGTAGGGTAAGAATTAGAATTAGGGACTATGATAAGATTAGGTTGGGGTGTAATGGTTGGTTGAAGTTTAAGCTTTATGTTGTAGTTTGGGACAAGGGTAAGGTTGAAGTAAGCAGTTAGGTTTAGTGGTTACGTTGTAATTAAAACTTACTGTAGGGTGTTTGGCTTAGGTTAAAGGCTTGCATTATGTTAACGGTAGTTTGAGGTGTAGCCATTATTACGTAGTTTGGGGTTTGGTATAGGTAGTTAGGGGTAAATGTATTGGTTACACTTTAATTAGTGTTTAGGTGTAGAAGGTATGGTTAGGTTTAGGGTTTATCCTCAGGTTAAATACAGGTGAGGGGGTTAGACTGAGGCTTATGGGATTCTGGGGTCTGGTATAGGGGTTAAAGTAAAGTTTAGTATAGGGGTCAAGTTAAAGTTAATGGTTAGGTTTAGAGGGTATGTTGAGATTAATGGTCAAAAAAAGAGGTTGCGTTTTTTCGTTTTTCAGAAGAATGAGCTGAGTTTGAGAAATCACAGGTTCATGTACAGTACCGAATTGGAAGGTCAGGTCAATATTTTAACCTATATGGTTGGCCCACAGTGTCAGTAAAGAAGGGGACTACAGCAACAGCCGTAATAATCATAAACCAGACTCACTTGTCCGGAAATGTAATGCCATCCACTCATACTGGAAGAAACATTATGCCAACCTCTGGCACCAAACTGTGATGTCTACTTTCTACAAACAACCAGTGAAATTGGTACCATTTGTATGAAAATAAAAAATATGCAAAATACGTGAAAATGTAAATGCATTAAAGTGTTTGTTTACCAATGCCAGAAGCCTGCCAATTAAAATAGGTGAGTTGGAAGCTTTGGTGCATGAATAGAACTATGATTTAATTGGCATTGCTGAATCTTGGCTTCATTCTTCACATGACTGGGCCATTAATATTTCTGGCTATGTTCTCTTTCGGAGAGACAGGGTAAATAGGAAAGGTGTAGGTGTCTGTCTGTATGTGATAAGTGATCTCAGAGCGAGTGTGAAAGAGGACCTAGTTGATGGAGAGTGTGATGAGAGCTGAAGTATTATGGGTGGAACTGCACATGGGGGCGCGTACTACAAAGGTAATCATTGGAGTTTGTTATGAATGTCCATATAAAAGAACATCTGGGTAGCAGTGACCAAAACATGGTGTCAGGAATCTAGGAATGACCAGAAAGGTGTGGACTGACACAGGGAAACGCGGGTTTCAGGTATAGTATAATAATACAGTTTATTATTAGCCACCCAGATATATATATATATATATATATATAAAACGCACAGTGAACAAACCAACCTTCCACTAATCTTAGTAGGTGCAGGAACACAGGCGTAGTCAGGGCTGGAGAGGTGGAACGGTCAGGCCGGCCGTAGGGTTCTGTAATGACCGTTTGGTGGTACCTCTAGTGGTCCCCAGGACAGGATTCCCCAGGGTGCGGAGTCTAAGTCCCAGTCTGCTTATTCACCAGGGCCCCTGATGGTGGGGATGGACTTGGAGCAGACAGGAACCAGGTCGCGGCCCCTGAGTACACCTGCTAGTGGTAGAGGGATCCGCCAGAGGTATGTGCAGGTACGGCTGGATCCGTGCAGGATGGATGGATGGCAGAGTAGTTAGCGTGGTCAGACGGGCCAAGTCAGCAATGTGCGGGCAGCAAGGTACCAAAGGAGCAGGCAGAGAATAGTCAAGGTCACAAGCCGGGTTCAGTAACTCACGGGCAGCGCAGTACAGGGGATCAGGCAGAAGGATGGTCAGGCAAGCCAGGGGTTCAACAGGAGACGGTCAGCAGAGGTCAGGATCAAGCCGGGTCAGCAACGAAGCAGGAACACAGGATACCAGGTACAGAGGCTCATGGGAAAACATACACCAAGGCCCAGAGCACAGGCCTGGCCATGCCTTAAATACACCTTTCTGCAATCAGCCCCAGGTTTGGCTGATTGCACGTGTGAGCTTCTGGCTGCTGAGAGCACCCGCTGGTCAGCTCTGGTGCTGCAGCCCACACGGCAGGTGAGTCCCACCACCAGTGCTGAGTCCATTCCTGACACATGGTTTCATTTATTGTTAGCTGTAAACAGCAAGCACATATGGGAGAAATAAAAATGCTCAATTTTAAGAGAGTTAATTTTCCAAGGCTGAGAGCTGCTCTCCAAGACTTAGACTGGGATGGAATATTGGCATCAATGAACACAACACAGAAATGGGAGTTCTGTAAGATATATTCCTATGGGCAACAAGTTTAAAAGGCTAAAAATCAAACCTATGTGGCTTACGGCCAAAGTTAAAAAAGCTATAGATAATAAGAAAAGAGCTTTTATTAAATATAAAAATGAAGGAACGCTATCATCGTTTAAACATTACAAAGAATATAACAAAATATGCAAAAAGGAAATAAAGGCCGCAAAAACTGAAAACGAACGACAGATTGCAAAAGATAGCAGAACCAGCCCCCAAAAATTCCTCAAATATATTAATAGTAAAAAGGTTCGGTCCGAGCATGTAGGCCCTCTAAAAATAATATAGAGTTTGTGACTGGGGAGAAAGAGAAGGCAAATTTATTAAATACCTTCTTCAGCTCTGTGTATACAAAGGAGTATGGGGGAGCTCTTGTCCATAATGGGCATGGTATTGACACAGCTCCAGATGATCCACATTGGCTCACAATTGATATGATCCAAAAATATTTAGACATAATAAAGGTGAATAAGGCACCTGGACTGGATGGCATACACCCACGGGTTCTTAAAGAATTGAGCTCTGTCATTTCAAAGCCATTGTTTCTTATTTTTAGGGACTCTTTAATGACTGGCATAGTACCACTAGATTGGCGTAAGGCCAATGTGGTGCCAATATTTAAAAAGGGGTCAAAATCTTTACCAAGTAATTATGGACCTGTTAGTTTAACTTCTATAGTTGGGAAGATACTGGAGAGTTTAATAAAAGACCACATAGATGAGTTCTTGCTGGAAAAAAATATTTTATGCAACAGACAGCATGAATTCATGAAAGACAGTACATAAGACAGCTAGTAAACATACCTTAACATAACCGGCTAGTAAATTTATTGAATTTTTCTTTTTTTTTCATGATACACGTTTGGCGTCTTATGCTAAGGATAATGGATAAATAAAGTGCAGCGCTAAAAATAGTAAGAACTATAATAAATAAAATCAAAGTTCGTTCAAAAATATTCGTTCACTCGGCTGAATCTTTTAAGTGACACAAATAATAATCTCCACAACAGCAGATATCTCTAAGAGCTTGTGACAGGAAACAAATAGCAGAAATGCGCACTCACCAACTGCGCATAAGAAATGCACATATATATATAAACCGCCAGATGGGGTATAAACAGCAGGCAGATGGTGGGCTTCCCTCAGAAGACAAGGTCATCAAGCTTGGGTGTAGTGATACTCTGCTGGGTCCAGAGGTCTCCTTTAGGGATGTGTGGGTATTCAGCCTGGATACAGGGCTCCCTCCTCTGGCTACTGGATGTTATTGGGAATTGCTCTGTGGGTTTAATAGCTCCTCCAATAAGGAGCCAAAGCAGAGGGGGTGCCAATAGTGTAGTAACTTCTGATATTTATTGAATAAACATGGTAAAAATGGTCAAAATCATAGGGTGCAGGTACAATACAGAGTGCCAAATGTTAAGTAAAGCAGAGTACTGCAGCACTGACCCTTAAGCAAGATGGCTGCCGGACCTCCTCGTGGTCTCGGCGGCGATGACGTCACACGCTGTCAGCTCCTCCTGAGGCCTTTCGTGCTAAGGCACATCGTCAGAGGGGAGGCTAACAGCCGTGTGACTGACGTCTGATTCTTAAATAGCAAAAATGGCGCATGCGCATTACGCCGCAGCCATTTTCGTGGAGAGCTTGGGACTGCACATGTACGCTCCCAGAGACGCCATTTTGCCGTGGATCATTCCAACAACAGGACACACTCCACAGAGCAGTGTTCATCTCAATGAAAAAAAGCCGACAGCCTGAAGCAGAAACGGCACAGTACCCAGGGGGATTATATACAGCCAGTGAAGTGGCTGGTGATATATATTGAAAGGGGGAGCAATATATTGGAGAATACTCACAAAACTCCACAGCTCCTAAACTATTCATATCCCAGGGATGTTAATCCTGAAAAGGATTCCTGAAAACAATCTGTGTTATTAAGTAATAATATCCACGACATGTAAGGCGCTCAAAAATAACAATATTAATGAATACCATAAAACATAATTAAATAAATTAATAGTATCAGCAAAAGACATAAAAGAATAATTATAGGGTCATATTTACAGGAAGAAAATTGCACACAATATCAGAAAAAATAGGTCATTAATGATAAACCATCAATGGCACATAGGGCTCATGCAGATGGTAATAGAAATAAAATCAATATATGTAGCAATGTTAAAAATATATATAAAAGATAATAATTGATAAATGTAAGGTTAAGCACTTGGGGGCTAAGAATATGCATGCATCATACCAGGGGCGGACTGACCGTTTGAACACTCGGGCATTGCCTGAGGGCCCGGGGTCAGTAGGGGGCCCCATGAAATCCCCCTGGTACCTTTTAGAGGCTTTTTTGGGTGTGCTTTGAGTGTGGGCAAGGACACAGGGGCCCCATGATCCCCTATTGCCCGGGGGCCCCATGAGTTGTCAGTCCGCCCCTGCATCATACATACTAGGGGGAGTAAACTGGGGGAATCAATGGTGGAGAAGGATCTGGGAATTCTGGCAGATCACACGCTTAATAATGGCATGCAATGCCAAGCTGCGGTTTCTAAAGCGAACAAAATCCTCTCTTGTATTAAAAGAGGTATAGACTCCAGAGAGAGAGATATCACATTACCTCTGTACAAATCATTAGTAAGACCTCATCTGGAATATGCAGTTCAGTTTTGGGCACCAAGTCACGAAAAGAACATTGGGGAACTGGAGAAAGTACAGAGAAGGGCAACCAAACTGATAAGAGGCATGAAGGAGCTCAGCTATGAGGAAACATTAGAGGAACTGAATTTATTATTTTTTGAGAAGAGAAGATTAAGGGGGGATATGATCACCATGTATAAATACATCAGTGGTTCATATAGTGAACTCGGTGTAGAGTTATTCACCCTGAGGTCATCACAGAGGACAAGGGGGCACTCTTTACGTCTGGAGGAAAAGAAATTTAATCTCCAAACAGGGAAAAGTTTCTTCACAGTAAGATCTGTGAAAATGTTGAATAGACTCCCTCAAGAGTTGGTTCTGGCCAGCTCAGTGGATTGCTTTAAAAAAAGGCCTGGATTGTTTCTTAGATACACAGAATATAATTGGATACTAACATTTATAGGTAAAGTTGATCCAGGGAATATCCGATTGCCTCTGGGGGATCAGGAAGGAATTTTTTCCCAGCAGGAGTAAATTGGATCATGCTTTGCTGGGTTTTTTTTACCTTCCTCTTGATCAACCAAAGGTATAGGATTATAACTTTTTTTTTTTTTTTTAATGGTTGAACTGGATGGACTTTTTTCAGCCAGACTAACTATGTAACTATGTAACTTTGGCTTCTTCCATCAAAATTAATTTGACTTCTACTATGGAAAAAAAATGCTACCATGATGTATTAAATGGGGACAACTTAATTCTGTTGCTACTTTTTAAAAGGATCAGCCCACCCAAGGATGAAATTTTAGTGATAGATGGAACATGATGGCCAGCTGATGCGAGACAGCTTCTGGAATATTCCATATCTTGGATGTTCTTTAATTAAGATCTACTTGACATAATTCAGATCCTGTTTCTGTCCACCTGGAAGGTTTTGGTGTTTCCACCCATATATTTGTGTTTCAGTTCCTTCTCTCTGTTACATGTTCTGTGATATAAAATAAATCAAATTTCTAGCAGGGAAGGACAACCCTTCATAATGGGCACATGAGTGTGCAGACCTGGGAACAGAGATCTCACCCAGGGGTGGACTGACAACTCATAAGGCCCCTGGGCAATAAGAGATAATGGGGCCCCCTGTTTCTCCGCCTACACTCAAGCCACACCCACACAACACCCCACCTACATATTGCAGCTCAGTTGCATAGAAAGGGCATTAAAAATAATTTTAAAAATAATAAAACAATGTCATGGGGTCCCCCCACTAATCATACCAAGCCCTTTGGGTCTGGTATGGGTTTTGAGCAGAAGAAAATAAAAAAAATGGCATGGGGTCCCCCCCAAGATCCATATCAGACCCTTATCTGAGCATGCAGCCAGGCAGGTCAGGAAAGGGTGGGAGACAAGCGAGCACCTCCCCTCCTTAACCATTTCAGGCCATATGCCCTCGACATGGGGGGGTGCTTTGGGGGGTTCCATGTTGATGGGGACAAAGAACTCTTCCCTTCAACCCTGGCATGTGGTTGTGGGGTTCTGCGGGTGTGGGGCTTATCGGAATCTGGAAGCCCCCAGATCCTGGCATCCCCCCATATGAATGAGTATGGGGGTACATGGTACCGCTACCCATTCACAAAAAAAAGAGTGTAGTGTGAAAAAAGACAGGAGACAGTCTTTGACAAGTCCTTTAATAACCTCCCTGGCGGTATGATTATTTCAGATTTTTGGTGCTGAAAGCGGTACCATTATTTTGCATGGGAAATATGTAGTTTTTTTATTGTAGGCTGATATTTTTTCGGAATAACTCCCTGAAATCTGTACAAACAAGAGTCTAGTAAACATCCCGGGTATGATAAAATTTGAAACACGAAATCATAAATTATAATTTAATAAATAATCATAAAAAATAATAATATAATAAAATACATTTAATTCAATAATATAATCAAACCAAAAACACTGAAATTTCAAATAGAGCGCCAAGTTCGCACATTGCTGAGCAAAGTCGCAAAATCGTTTTCAGTGTCTGATGACGAATTTCCCCCACGAATCATTATCACTCAATTCTGCAAGTGGTTCTGATTTACTATCGCTGTTCTCTAGCTGGTCTAAACCCGCTTTTGACCTAAAGGGACACTTTTTGGACGCCATGGACTTTTCTCAGTTTCCAGGCAGAAAGAACAGACAAAATGCAGGCAGGGCACAGGACAAAGCACTAGGGACAACATGTATGTGGAATGGGTTGAAACAGCAATGTTTTACTATGTACAATTCGTTTGGAAAAAAATGACGTTTTTTACAATTTTCAAATTTCCCGCCGCCGCCGGCAGCGGCGCCCGTACGTCCCGGCATCACAAGGACTGGAACACAGAAGCCGGATGCCGGCATCGGCCGGAGGAGATGGCCGGGGACGCTGCAGGGGACACATCGCGGGAGCAAAGGACAAGGTAAGCTCTGCAGGGAATCCCTATGCAGCGCCGCATGGTAAGCCCGAGTGTGGCTCGGGGTTACCGCTTTGGTACTGACATTTTACCCCAAGCTACCCTCAGGAATACCGCTAGGGAGGTTAAAAGAATAAAGAGGAATATCCCCAGAAGTAGATCCAACGTCAATCATGATGCCCGCCGCCTCCGCTACCCGAACATTTTTTTTAAAAAAAAGCTCTATCCGGACGCTGGCTCCCGGCTGACTGCTCTGGTGGCTTGACAGCTCTTAAATATGTAAGGGGCAGGGCCACCCAGGGACATCACTATGTGACCCCGCCCCTTGTGGTGTCATCAACCGGGGGATGCTGGGTCAATGATGTCACAAGGAGGTGGGGCCACACTCATGATGTCACTGGGTGGCCCCGCCCCTTACATATTTAAGAACTGTCAAGCCAGAGGAGCAGTCAGATGGCTGGAGCCAGTATCAGGGTCAGAGTTTTTTTTTTTTTTCGGGCAGCGGCGGCGGTGGGCATCGTAATTGACGTTGGATCTACTTTGGGGGATATTCTTTTAATTTTCTCCTTTTAATACAGGAATTGTAAAAGACTGTCTCCTGTCTTTTTTCACGCTACACTTTTTTTTTTGTGAATGGGTAGCAGTATGATGTACCCCATACTCATTCATTCACATGGGGTTGCTAAAGGGGGCTTCCAGATTCCGATAAATCCCCCACCCGCAGACCCCCACAACCACTTGCCAGGGTTGTCGGGAAGAGGCCCTTGTCCCCATCAACATGGGGACAAGGTGATTTGGGGGGGAGTCCCCTCCCCAAAGCACCCCCCTCATGTTGAGGGCATGTGGCCTGGTATGGTTAAGGAGGGGGAGGGTGCTTGCTCGTCCTCCCCTTTCCTGACCTGCCAGGCTGCATGCTTGGATAAGGATCTGGTATGGATTGTGTGGGGTTCCCCTCAAAATCCATATCAGAACCGAAGGGCTTGGTATGGATGGGAGGGGAGACCCCACGCCATTTTTTTATTATTTTTTAAATTTCCGGCAATTCTTTCTTTTTCATTCATCTGTCAGTGGGAACCCCGCTGACAGCTGAAACATTAACACATGGCTTTCTCTATTAAAATACTGCATGACTTGATAAAATAACTCATGCGGTATTTTAGTAGCGTTTTTTGGTGAATTCAAACTTTTTTTTAAAAAATGCTGTGCGGTATCCTACCGCATACTCGGATATGGTAAGATACCACTTAGGGAATTATGCCCAGTGAGCCTCTCACCAGGCCCCCTATTCACCCCAGGTCCTCGGGCAATGCCTGATTGCCCGAATGGTCAGTCTGCCCCTGATCTCACCAATAGAACCCCCAAGAGATATAAGAGGTGGTTTATCTTTTCGTTCCCTATCAAAACCTTAAATCTTGTTATTGGTGGGTCTGTCTATTTAAAGGATCATTATCATTAGGTTCTTATTAGGATTAATATTATTAGCAGTATTATTATTATTACTGTTAGGATTACTATTATTTTAGGATTATTATATTAGGATTAATTATGTATTAAAAATAATGATATTAGAATTATTCTATTAGGATTATTATTATTATTACTTTTGTTATGATCATTATTAGGATTTTTCCCATAATTCCACTGATTGTCCTCCTGGACAAGAACCCTCGCTGCCCCAGGCCTCGGACTATTTATGCATTCCCTCAGCCACCTACTGGGCAATTCCACCCAAGGGCTGGGACTACAAAAATATGCAGGTTACCTATTTGACTTTTCTAACCCACTACATTTCAAAAGCCTCCAGAAGGCAGGGGGAAGCAGTTAAACCTGCACCCAGTGAGACACAGAACAGCCCAAAATAAATCACAAGCTGCTCAGCTGCTTGTAAGAGAGCTACAGGAAGTAAATGTACCTAACCTAGCTAGTAGCCTAACAAGGGGTTGAACAAAAGTTTGGAAACACTCCATGGTTTGCAGGTGTGAAAGCGACGACATGTTTTGCTTTGAAAGCAGAAGTGACGTAACATTCTTTTGCTTCCGCTGTGTGATGAGACACCTAGCTAACAGGTGAAAAGCCTCACTTTCGTCATTCACTGCATGTGCTGCTATTAATATGGAGTCATATTGGAGCTTAGTGAGCTTCAAAGAGGGGAAAATTGTTGGTGCTGCTTAGCTGGTGCCTCTGTGACTGAAGTTGGCCATTTATTTGCCATGTGGCGAGGTACAGTGTCAAAGGTTATTATACAGTTTCTGGGAAAACATTATCTGATAAACATAAATGCTGTAAGCATGGTCAACTGACTGAAAGTGACAAAAAAACATTGCTCTGGATCAGGGGCGGACTGAC